ATTCAAAAGTGGAATTCGTGGCCAGAGGATGTTGTGATGGCCACAGGAATAAACAGCTTGACAAGGGGATTAGACAGATAAATGGAGATTAAGTCTATCAAGGGTTACTAGCCATGGTGACTGAGGGGAACCCCCACACCCAGAGGAGCTAAACCTCTGAATCCCAGAGCCAGGAGGCAACCTCAAGGGAAGGCCTCGGCCTCTATGCCCTGTGGTTGGCCCTCCAGAGGAACTGGTTGGCCACTGTGTGAGACAGGATGCTGGACTAGATGGACTATTAGTCTGGTCCAGCAGAACTCTTTTTATGTTCTTCCAATAACTGATAATTCTCTCTCTAGAATCTCAGTAAGTGCCCTAAATTAATATAGACTATAGAGAAATATAGTGATAACAATTATAGAGGCATCTTAGGCTTGCTTGTCTAGGAGAAGATCAAGGCGTTTTGAAATCGTTAAAAGAATAATAGGCCTTTGCCTGCTTACTCCTTCAGCCCTTTCCTCTCCACTGTGAACATTATCAGGGTCTTTTGAGAATGCCGATCCTTCATGATTTTTATTTGGATATACACCTTGCCTTCTCCACTTATCAACATAGGTTCTCAAGAAGAGAACGGATTGGCTAGGCAAAGGGCTCGTTAGAATCCTCAGGTAGGCAAAGGGCTCGCTAAAATTCTCAGCTGGGCAAAGGGCTCGTTAGAATCCTCAGGTGGGCAAAGGGCTCGTTAGAATCCTCAGGTAGGCAAAGGGCTCGCTAAAATTCTCAGCTGGGCAAAGGGCTTGTTAGAATCCTCAGTGAGGTAAAGGGCTCGCTCAAATTCTCGGCCGGGCAAAGGCCTCACTAACATTCTCAGCACAGCAAAGGGCTCGCTGAAATTCTTTGTGAGAAGGTGACCACCATCAGAGGCTCTGGCAGAGGCCCGTTACTGACCACAACTATGCACTCTGTTTTGTCTACATCACGGCTGGTCCACGGGAATAAACAGCTGGACTTCATAATAGGGCAAACAGCTCTTTCACCCCCAGCAGTATGAGCAGCTGCAGAGGTTTTGGCAGAGCCCTTCACTGAGTCTTTTGGGGGAAAGGTGAGCTGAAACAGCCATAAATAAATGTCTCAGTTTCTCACCTTTGCTACTCTGTTCTGTTTGCCTGTCCCGATGGGCCTCGACGTGTAAGTGAACGCCTCTGCCAAAGCAGTTCTATGCTGTTCACGCCAGGGAGGCTGCAGACATCATAATGAAGGGGTCTGCAGGAAAGCATACCATGTGCCCAGAACTGCAGCTCCTTACAAGCTGAGCCTTGGGTCACTTCACCACGGTCAGCCTTCGGCAGCTGCCGAACAGCTCCGTGGCTATGCCACAATTGCGACATTTCAATTTCATTCCTTTCTGCCTTGCAAGCCGCTTTTGCATCTCTGCAACAGGGGAAATCTATTCTCTCCCAAGGTCATGGATGGTCAAATCAGGCACTCAAAGAGCGAGTCAAAGAGCTGTGTGTGTGTGTGTGTGGTAATATGGACTTAAATGACACTAAGTGGTAAGACTTTTTAAAACTACAGTGTTTGTTTATTAGACACTCAGTGACCGATCCATTTGCTCACTGTTTGTTTAGACCACTGGCAGCCGAGCAGCGATGATGCATTGGGGGAGGAAGGGAGAACGAGGACTCTCCTCGGGCTGTAGAAAGAGCAAGAGTCCAGGAGCACCTTCAAGACTGACAACAGCTACGCTGGCTCCCAGTGGAATACCGAGTCAAGTTCAAGGTTCTGGTATTGACCTATAAGGCCTTGGGCAGCCAGGGACCAACGTACCTATGGGACCGGCTCCTCCATTATGTCCCTGGGAGAGCATTACGCTCTTCAGGTAACAACTTGGTGGTGGTCCCCGACCCTAAAGCTCTCTGGTTATCAGGGACAGATTAACCATTAAGCAGACTAAGCACATGCTTAGGGCACCAGGGCCAAAGGGGGCACCACAAAGTTGGGAAAAGGGTGCACAACAGAGAGGTCTTTCTCACAACTGAAACATGTAAAAAACCCAAATAGATCAGTTATGCTTCAAGAAAGACTCAACTCACACTGTGTATATTAACAATTGAAGCAGACATTCTGAGAGGGATTAATTTCGAGGATGTTATCAGTGATTTCTGCGAAAACGAAATGTAGAAAAATGCCTTTCAGGTCACAGATATTGGAACTTTGATACGTTTCACTTGTGAAATATTAAAATAGACGTTGCATTGCATTTTTGTAGGACTTTATGTAGCCCAAGCTTGGCTTAGTTTGTACAGTATGTTGTGTTATCATAGGAATAAATTTTTGTATTGCTGCAACCTGCATTGTATATCTGGTCAGACAGGTCAACGACTAAAATGGACTGGGTCAGTGGGGAAAGGAGGGGGGGCACCAAGATCGGTCCGTGCTTAGGGCACCCGTGAGCCTTAATCCACCCCTGCTGGCTATCCTCCACCAAGACCAGGGCCTTTTCAGTCCTGGCCCCAACTTGGCGGAACTTTCTGCCAGATACCATCAGGGCCCTGCGGGACCTTAGGCAATTCCACAGAGCCTGTAAGGCAGAGATGTTCCGACAAGCCTTTGGTGGAGGCCTCCTTTTCCCGCTCCAGTTGCTTCTCTCATCTGCTTTGCCCTCCTCGCCTCTGCCCGCAAAGCGGCCAGCAGTATGAAATGGGACCAATTAATATGCGCCATCTATTTGCTTGAAATATGTTATTAATGTTTCAGTTATTTTATCTTGATGTTTTTATGAATGATGTACATCGCCCAGAGCCCTGCAATGCAGGGATTGGGCGATTAACAAATTTTATATATAAATAAAATTTTAAAAATAAACATCTGTGGCAGGGGGAGAGCATTCGTTTGGTACGTTCGGTTGAGACATCCTTTTCCCGCTCCAGTGGCTTCTCACATCTGCTTTGCCCTCCTCGCCTCTGCCCGCAAAGCGGCCAGCAGTATGAAATGGGACGAATTAATATGCGCCATCTATTTGCTTGAAATATGTTATTAATGTTTCAGTTATTTTATCTTGATGTTTTTATGAATGATGTACATCGCCCAGAGCCCTGCAATGCAGGGATTGGGCGATTAACAAATTTTATATATAAATAAAATTTTAAAAATAAACATCTGTGGCAGGGGAGGAGCTTTCGTGAGTCACTGCTCACTTCTTCAGAAGTGATCAGTGACTCACAAAAGTCCCAACCTTGCCAGAAATTTTGTTAGCCTTTCAGGTGCTCCTGGACTCTTGCTCTTTTCTACTGCTACAGACAGACGAACACGGCCACCCATCTTGATCTACCTCCTTGGGCTGTATGACAATTTAGATGCATGAAATACTGCCATGTGTGCAGCACTGTACTGTTTCAGAACAAGAAAAATAACCTGGTGAACACGACTGAGCGGTTTGCAAACAGTTGAAATGCTCGCTGAAAAATTGGCTCGATGTTCAGAACAAGGAAGTAGAACATGAACCAAACTGGTGGATGTTCGAGTCTCCCTAGTAGGGCATTTAAAGAGGTCTTTGCTTGGGACAAAGTTACAGAGCGATGTAAAAGTGTGTGTGAAACAATGGAACTTGGGAACCACAGCTGCCTGGGGCCTTATGTGAAACAGATTGATTTTTCAATTTAATTTTTTGACTGTCAAGTTGCAGCCAACTTATTGGTGACCCTGTAGAGTTTTCAAGGCAAGAAATGTTCAGAGGTGATTTGCCATTGCTCGCCTCTATGTAGCAGCCTTGGATTTCCTTGGTGGTCTGGTCTCCCATCCAAGTACTAACCAGGACTGACCCTGCTTAGCGCCCGAGATCTGATGAGATCAAGCTAGCGTGGGCCATGGAGGTCACTCACTCACAGACCTTTATTGGCATATATTGGATTACAGGTAGAAACAGTAAACAGATAAGGAGGTAACAAGGAAAATGAGTCAACCATATGCATCTAGACATTATGCAATCGATCCTTAATTACCAAACTTAGAAATAAGGCTCCCTTTTCAGTTATTTCGGGCGACAAATCGTTCAGAAGATGAACCGTGCAGGTCAAGGGCAAGAGATGAACAGAGGTGGTTCCTGCCTCTGTGTAGCGGCCCTGGATTTCTTTGGCGGTCTCCCATCCAAGGACTAACCAGGGCCAATCCTGCTTAGCTTTTGAAAAGAGTGGGCATGTCTGGCCTCTCCATGTCAGGGCAGCAGATTTATACCCTAACCTAAATTTTTCAGAACACAGTTTGAGTCCAGTGGCACTTTCAAGACCAACAAAAGTTTAATTCTGAGTAGAAGCTTTCGTATGTGTGCACCCTTCTTCAGGTACAACAAATTTAGAGTCCAGTGGCGCCTTTCAGGCCAACAAAGGTTTATTCAAGGTGTGAGCTTTCGTGCACACGCAAACTTTATCAAATACGTTAGAACGGCAGTCAAGGTTCAGACCTATAGCCAGAGAATGAACAGCAAATTAACATGCAACGTGATGATTTTCAAGATATGCAAAGTGACACTAAATAACAAGTTACGGTTGGCATGTACTTTGCCTATCTGGAAAATCATCATGTTGCATGTTAATTTGCTGTTCATTCCCTGGCTACAAGTCTGAACCTTGCCTACCATTCCACTGTATTTGATAAAGCATGCCTGCACACAAAAGCTCATACCTTGAATAAACCTTGGTTGGTCTTAAAGGTGCCACTGGACTCTAAATCTGTTGTATTGCTTCAGACCGACACGGCTGACCAACTGGGTCTTTCTTCGGATACATTCTTCTTCAAATAGATTTCAGCGAGTATCTGAAGAAGTGTGCTTGCACATGAAAGCTTCTACCCAGAATTAAACTCTGTTGGTCTTAAAGGAGCCCACGGCCCTCAGACTTTGTTCTGTTGCTTCAGGCCGACGTGGCGACCCACCGGAATCTAAGTTTTTCAGGTGTTCTAAACAACTCCACGGTAATCCTTACAAGTAGCCCTGGCGGCATCTGCATTCCCAACACTGTTCTTACCTGCCCCTTTTGTCACGACCTGCTTGGGTTTGCTGCGGGCACCGTCCCCTTTCATCGTATAGGCAGCGACCGTGATCGAGTAGGCCGTCTCTGGCTGCAACCCAGCGATGATCATTTCCTGGAGGGGGCAAGAATCCAGAAAGAGAGAGTGTATTTTTCTCCCCACTCCTTTTTGAAAGAAGAAGTGTTCAGATTAGCTGGAAAACTCTGAAGCATGCGGGGAGCACGACACAAAGCAATCCTTTAGTGGGGTGGAAAAGAAGGACGGGGGGGGAGAGGTAGGATAGCCAGAAAACCGCAGTGAGATAATGCACACACACACACAAACACACAGCTTGCTGTGAACAAACCGTCCTTTTATGCAAAGCATGCAGCCGACGGAGGAGTCTTTTGCTCATCCGTCTGCCTCTACGACTTCCCTTCCTATCTCAACAGAAAACGCTTCTGCCATCAAAAAAGCGCACCGGCCTCTTCAAAGGGTCCTCCTCCACTCTCTTAAATCTCCCCCAAAATGTGTAGCTTCAAACAGATTAAAGCACTTCCCGCCCCCTCCCTCCACACACCAGTGATTCTCTTCAAGAGGACGGCTTTCGTTGCGGCATGAGATGTTCTCCCTGCTTCCAGGCGAGCACACCAGAGAACGTGTTCTGGCTGCCTCCACGCCCAGGCCTTGGTGCTCTACGTCCTTCCCAGTAAAGTAGACTTGTGCCTGTGCTACGGTGAACATGTGATGCTGGAGCTCTGCAACATTTCCCCCAGGCATGTTATCTTGCCCCAAAAGGCAGACACAGTGGTCCAGTATGGAGCCCTGCGGAAAGGGGGTAACTATTCCATCTTTATTGTAAATGCTACTCCGCTACCTTAAATCCCAGGCAGGGGAAACTCCAGGCAAAATATTGGTTGCCACCCCCAGGGTGGGAAATTCCTGGAGATTTTGGGGGTGGAGCCTGGAGAGGGCGGGATTTGGATAGGGGAGGGACTTCAGCAGGGTATAATGCCATAGAGTCGACCTCCCAAACCAGCCATTTCCTCGAGGGGAAGTGGGTCTCTGTTGCCTGGAGATCAACTGTAAAAGTGGGAGATCCCCAGACCCCACCTGGAGGTTGGCAGCCCTAACTTGCCCCCGTCCTCTGCTTCAGGCTTAAAGCTTTCCAGATTAAAGCAATAGGGAAAAGGGAAGGGGTTTAAAAGTTAAATCCCAGCTTGTCTGCCTGAGTGCTTTTTAGTGCTAAGTGACAATCTCATTGTCAAGTAGCCTGGTTTCTGGTGTATGCCAAACAGTGACCTTTCTTCTTAAAGATGAGGGAATTAATAGAGATCCTTTGGAGAGTGGATGTAATCTGCTGAGAAATGGAACCTTCCTCTCTTTAAACAAATGACTTCCTGTCGTCTTTCTGGGTTTGACTGGGAATGCCCAAAAGGTGATAACAAAACTGGTTGTACTCAAATTACTCCCTTGGATCAGAACCATGAGCCTAACAGAAGAAGAAGAGGTTGGATTTACACCCCGCCCTTCACTCAGAGTCTCAGAGCGGCTTACAAACTCCTTTCCCTTCCCCTCCCCACAACACACACCCTGTGAGGTAGGCAGAGCTGAGAGAGCTCTTGACAGAAACTGCTCTTTTTCACGAAGAAGAAGAGATTAGATTTATACCCCACCCTTCACTACCCAAAGGAGTGTCAGAGTGGCTTACAAACTCCTTTCCCTTCCCCTCCCCACAACACACACCCTGTGAGGTAGATGGGGCTGAGAGAGCTCTTGACAGAAACTGCTCTTTTTCAAGAACAGCTCTTATCAGGACTACGGCTTGCCCAAGGTCATCCAGCAGGTGCAGGTGGAGGAGTGGGGAATCATACCCGGTTCACCCACATTAGAGCCTGCGCACTTAACCACTACTACACCAAACTGGCTACACTGCACCAAATGTTGTTCCTTTCTCAGAAAATATAATGGTGAAAAGTACAAAAGAAATAGAGAAATTATGAACTTTGTCCCTACATTTTGTTGATCTTTTTTTTTTTACACTGTTGCTCCTTATTCGTAATGTGGAGCTTGTGTGCATGTACTGTTGTATTTATTATGGTCTGCAGCAATGAGAAAATAACCTGTTTTTAGGATAGCAAAAGGGGAAGTGATGCTCGGTATACTTGGTGCTTGGGGGGGGGGGCAACCTGTTAACTTTGTCCCTACATTTTGCTGATCTTTTTCTTTTTTTTTACACTGTTGCCACTTATTCGTAATGTGGAGCTTGTGTGCATGTACTGCTGTATTTATTATGGTCTGCAGCAGTGAGAAAATAACCTGTTTTTAGGGTAGCAAAAGGGGAAGTGATGCTCGGTATTCTTGGTGTTGGGGGGGCAACAGTGGGAGGGCTTCTAATGTCCTGGCCCCACTTCTGGACCTCCTGATGGCACCTGGTGTTTTTGGCCACTGTGTGACACAGAGTGTTGGACTGGATGGGCCACTGGCCTGATCCAACATTGGCTTCTTTTATCTTATGAATACCAGCGAGCTGAGGAGAGGCTTAACATTAAATGCCCCACAGAATCACTGAACTGGGGTTGGAAGCTGTGCCTCTAGACACAACCACATTTGACATGCTTTGGCAGTCAGGAGGGGCTCGTGCCCTTGGCTTCTTTACCTTAAAAGCCCTATATGGTCAGGGACCTACTTACCTAAGGGACCGCCTTTCCCCATATGTTCCCCAGAGAGCACTAAGATCGGGATCCCAAAATCGCCTGGCTCTCCCAGGCCCTAAAGAAGTCAGGTTGGCCACAATGAGAGCCAGGGCCTTTTCTGTGGCGGCCCCTTACTGGTGGAATGAGCTCCCAGGTGACATCAGGGCCCTGTGGGACCTTTTGCAGTTCCACAGGGTCTGTAAAACGGAGCTCTTCCACCAGGCTTTTAATTAGGCGGGCCGCCTTTAACATCACGGCCCTGGCCCTAACACCAACACCAACATCATTGCCAACCTTACGATCAACAGCCTAGATTAGGGGCAAGAGACCATTCAAATGTTGAGAAAATGCCGCCATCTTGCACTATGTTTATGTTCTGAGTAGTGATGGTTTTACATATTGTGATTTTAACTTATTTTGTTCTTAGCATATTGTGGAGTTTTAATGTGTATGTATTGTCAGCCGCCCTGAGCCCGCCTTATTGGGAAGGGCGGGATAAAAATTTAATAAAATGGATAAATAAATAAAATACGACAACGTCAGGAACACCATCTCATCTCCCAGACATCTCTCTTGGCGTCACCAACCAAAAGACGGGACAGAATCTACATTCCTCCTGGAGCTACAACTCTTGTGTGTTATTTTAATCTACTGTAAAATACCCTTGGAGAGCAAATGATTTAAAATATATATTCGTAACTATTTCACATTTTATCTAACTACTGTACATTATATCTGACTATTTCACATTAACTACTGCACTTTCCCCAGGAGCGATGCAGCGGAAACCGTGGCACAATCGGGGATAAGGTTTGGGAAGCAGAAAAACAAAGGTCAGCACAGCACTGGGAAAGGGGGGGGGAGGGTTAGAAGAGAAAAGGGGGAAACAGAAACAAAACAGGCAAATCCACACCATCACCAATGAAAAGGAAGGGAGCAGAGCCAAGGAGAGCCGGAGGGAGGGCATCTTACTTACGTATTCCGCAGTGTCATCGGTTTCCCACTGAGCAAGAGAGGATATGCAGGGGAGAATGAAGAAGGGAAGAGAAAGAAAGAACAGCGTGAGAGAGAGGGAGCGCGGGGGAATCTGTCCGGAAGTGAGATGCAGATCCCGGAAGACAGGAGACACCCAGGGCAAAGGAGGAGGAAGTATAAGAAGGCATGGAGGTTAGTAGGATGTGTAGCCACTGTTGGCAACATACAGGCATCGTGTTTTGAACGAACCCAAAGTTGAAGAAACAGCTGCTAAAACAGCACCTTCTGCACAGAAAAAATAAGTTTTTGGAGAGTTCTGAAATTGCACCCCATCCATTCCCAACCTTCCATTTTTGCACATCTGTGTCCCATTCCGCTTGTGTTCCGGCATCATTCCCCCCCACCCCAAACCCCTCTGAGAGGGCTTCCGTGTGCTTTGCTACGCAATCCCAGGTCACATAAGGAATGGGATGGTATTGCAGACCCTTGGAGCCAATCAGCTTCAGCTACAAGGTAGTGTAACTGAAGAGAAACGGAGCCTGATCCTGCCTGAATGCACACTTTCCACACCAGGTTATTTGCCTCTGATTCAACACTGTTGGAAAGTGGATCCCCCCCCCCCACTTTCCCACAGCGTTGTGCACTGCCGAGGGTTTCCTTGGCTTTTCTGATTTTCCCCAAACTCGCTTTACTGTCAGCTTTTGGGAACAATCATAGCAAAGCCTACTAAGCAAAGCCTAAATTTGGATTTTCCTGGTATTACCCACGTGGCAGTCATTTTCCTTGCTCCTGCAGTGGCTATTCCCCCTCTGCCATGGTGGTGGTGGTGGGGAGTTTTTAAATTGGCAACTGAACAGTGTTATAACAATCTATATGCCAGGGTCCCTGGCCCTGATCTCAATAGCTTGGGCTAGCCCGATCTCGGAAGCTAAGCAGGGTCAGCCTTGGCTAGTATTTGGAAAGGCGACCTCCAAGGAATACCCTTGGAATATTATCATCATATGGCCTTGTGTGTAGAATGGCCAGGAGATCCTAAAATTGTCTGGCAGTCAGAAGTTCTAGCTCTTTTAGCATTAAACAAAGAGTTGTTTCAGAGGTGGTTTGCTATTGTCTGCTTCTGCATAGCAAACCACCTCTGAAACAACTCTTTGTTTAATGCTAAAAGAGCTAGAACTTCTGGATGCCAGACAATCTTAGGGTCTCCTGGCCATTCTACACACAAGGCCATATGACGATGATATTAATTATTAATAATAATTAATTATTGTTACCAGGGTCCCTGACCTCTCTTCAAGGGGCTTCCTCTCTAGTGTGAACCACACACAGGCTCTGGTACAGCCACCCCTTATTACAAACCTCAGCCCCTCTTTTTCCTATGAGTCAATTCACAGGCAAGGGAGAGCAAGTGACTGTTGTGTGCAAAGGGGGACCTTTGCCATTCTTGTTCACACAGGGTGGAGGAGGTTAAGGAGCCCTTTGGTCACATAGAGGAAATCACCCGAAAACCATCATGAAAAGGAGTGTTCTTTGGATCCGATGGGAAGCAACCGGGGCCAGAATGACTCCCGGGGCCCACCAGCCGCCTATCCCTTGAGCATTACCCACAATGCATTGCTTTGAACTCGGCATTTCCCAGACTTGGGAATATCTCAGGGATGTGACTGAGACATCTGGATATGGGTGGAAATTACTGCATGGAAGTTATAGGTGGGCTGGGATCACGAGCTCTTTCTGTTCCCACCTCCACTACCGACCCTGACAGACTGCACGGAGCACATTTTGTTTATACACACGGGCGCCAATGCTCCCTCTCAGCTGTGGAGTCTTGTGAGCAAAAATTCTGCTTGGTGAGCTACTGGCATTCAAGTGGTGAGCGAGCGATTTGGCTACTGCATGTGAACCACACACAGGCTCTGGTACAGCCACCCCTTATTACAAACCTCAGCCCCTCTTTTTCCTATGAGTCAATTCACAGGCAAGGGAGAGCAAGTGACTGTTGTGTGCAAAGGGGGACCTTTGCCATTCTTGTTCACACAGGGTGGAGGAGGTTAAGGAGCCCTTTGGTCACATAGAGGAAATCACCCGAAAACCATCATGAAAAGGAGTGTTCTTTGGATCCGATGGGAAGCAACCGGGGCCAGAATGACTCCCGGGGCCCACCAGCCGCCTATCCCTTGAGCATTACCCACAATGCATTGCTTTGAACTCGGCATTTCCCAGACTTGGGAATATCTCAGGGATGTGACTGAGACATCTGGATATGGATGGAAATAACTGCATGGAAGTTATAGGTGGGCTGGGATTACGAGCTTAATGATGTTGGGCATCATTAAGGCAGCAGAATGGGAGACCGACAAAGCTGAGCTAATGGGCACAATCCACCAGGAGGTCCCCCTCGCCCGTCCAAGCCTAATTGGAATGAATGGGAGATGCACAACCCCCCCCCCAACACTCATTGTTGTAAGTCTATAGAAGGCACCAGTCATGTTATGGTTTTTATTGCAATATTAACAGGAGGAGAATAGGGGCTTGAACAGCTGTTCGTCACGAAACCCCCATCTCAAGAGGCAGCATACGTCTGGATACCAATGTCTGTGAGCTTCCCAGGAGGATCGCACTGGCCACTGCTGGAAAAGAGAGGGCTGGAACCAGTGTTCCCTCTAAGCTGAGTTACTGTGAGCTAGCTCACAGCTTTTTAGCCTCCGGCTCCCACATTTTCGTTTTAGCCAGTGTTCCCTCTAAGCTGAGTTAGTGTGAGCTAGCTCACAGTTTTTGAGCCTCCGGCTCACACATTTTTGCCTTAGTTCAGGACGGAGGGCTCCAGAGCAAACTAATGTATGCAGCGGCCAAATCGCTCACTCACAGCTTTAACCCCAGTAGCTCACAAAGTAGACTTTTTTGTTCACAAGACTCCACAGCTTAGAGGGAGCATTGGTCTTAGCTCAGGAAGAATGGCTCCAGAGCAAACTAATTTATGCAGCAGACAAATTGCTCGCTCACAACTTTAATGCCAGCAGCTCGCAAAGTGGAATTTTTGCTCACAAGACTCCACAGCTTAGAGGGAGCATTGGCTGGAACCAGACTGCCCTAAATGCTCCCCCGTCTGGTTCCTGAGGGCCCCCCCCCATCAAATGGTGTTTCAGGGGGCACGTTGGACCACTGTAGGAATCAGAAATAGCGTGCCCCGAGAGCAAAAATCCATGCACCTGTGGAAATGCCTAATCTGGATTCAGGCCAGGATACTGGGTGCTCTGGTCTATCGGCGCTCGTCTGATGTGATTAATGAGGACTGCACAGAAAATCCTTCCTAATGGATTGTGCTCTATGCTAATTAGGAAGCGGGTGGTACTGTTCAGATTTCCCACCTCGAGCAGAAGAACTCTGCCGCCGTTGCCGCCTTTCATTATTTATAGACATGCCCAAAATATATGGATTGCGGCGTGCGATTTAGGATGGAGTGTCTGTCCCCCATTCCATCATGGCTCTACTGGCTGGAACCAGCCATGTGCTCTGTTCTGCCTGCCGCCTGGTTTCACTTGGAGAATGGCTACATTTAATTTCAGAATTGGCACACGCACGGCTTTTCGGCTCCCGTCTGGTGTGCCCCATCCCCACCCTGTGGTTAATAACGTGGATGTGCTCATGTGCACATTGGTTCCAGCAGCACGAACAGAGAGTGAGCCGCTTCTTGCGTCGTGATTTCAATCAGTACATGCATCAAGATTCCCCCCCCACCCCTTTTGTGCAGCATTTTAAGAACACTCCCCTCTGGGCTAGCAAGCACGTGAGTGTACAGGCACACTGGTTCTAAAGCAGCACAAACAGGAATCGAAAACACTCTTCTGCATTTTATCAACACACACAGCGAGATCTCATTTTGGGGTGGGATTTTAAGACAGTGGAAACTGTGTGCGCACAGCGGTCTGAACAAAGTTGGGAAATAAATGGCAGATGGCTCATGTGTTACTGCTGCTCGGCGGAGAAAATCGAGGCGCTCCCATCTCCCAAATCCAGTGGGATATTGGGATGGAAAGAATTCCATAAAAACCCTAACGTGAATAAAAACACATAAGCCTCAGGATCTTGGAACGCCTGCAGCCATCAAGGACCAAAATGAGGGCGTTTGGATACATGATTCCTCTCTGGATGACAAAGTGCACACATTTCCTGGCCCAGTGAGATCACAGTAGCCCAGAACCGTCTAATTTATACCTGAGCATCAGCCAGCATCACATCCTTGATCTGGGGCAAGCCCTTGGCCTCTCCGTTCTCCATGCACACGTAGTGGACTTGGTAGCCACGTATCTGCCCATGCTGGCGGTTCTGGACCGGTGAACGCCAGAACACTTGGATGGCTGTCGAATTCAGAACCTCAACTTCCACCTTGCGAGGCGGGGCACTAGGCACTGGAAGAGGGGGGGAAGGAACAGGAGGAGGAGGAGAGAGAAACAGAGGAAGAAAAGGGTGTATGTCTCAGCTTAAATATGGGAAATGCTCAATTGTTAACTGAGTGCGTATGTGTGCCTTTATATTGCTACAGACTCTCCCAGTTGCACCGTATCTGTACCAAGGCTTGTGGTGTGCTGTTTCAGTCCACATGCTCTATGCTTGAACAGATTTCATGCACGAGGCATCTTGTGCACTATTACCAATTCTCCCTTGGAGTGCAAAGTCAGAGATGAGTCTGGGATGTACTGTCCAGGCTCACAGTACAAGGGTGAGCAGGGGTCGTTTCGTAGAAAAAGAGCTAGGGGAACTCATTAGCATAACTCATTAGCATATGCCACACCCCCTGACATCACCGGAAGTGTGTCATAAGGCCACACCCCTGACATCACCAGAAGTGTGTCATAAGGCCACACACCCCACACCCAACGGTCCTGGCCGCCGCTGCCGGCCTTGCAGCTCCACTGCCGAGCCCCATGAGGGGCCCGGCGGTGGACCTGCAAGGTCGGCGGGAGTGCAAGGAAGCCCCGCGAAGGCCCTCCCTGGCCCCAGGCAGGCAGGGGTGGGGAGAGGCAGGGAGGAAGCAACTTACCCTCCCTCTTCTCCTGCCTCCTCCTGGCTGAATGAGGGCCGGAAGCAGGGCAGC